GGTTCAACTTATTTATTTCTATTTTGATACCTTTTGTAGTCGCTTTTATCTAATATCTCTTCAAGTTAATTTGGCTGAGCTGTTTGTAATTTAAAAAAAAAAGAAGAACTGCCTTATTTTAGTACTTAATTTCTCCTGTGTCGTAGGTTTTAGAAACCTATCTATATGTATACTAATATTATAACTATATATAGTAACTCCGTCTGTCTTTCACCTAAACTATTGAACCGATTTCTGTGAAATTTGGTACAGACATATGGAACTCGAGAAAGGACATAGAATAGTTTTTATATCAAAAATCTGCAGGAAATCACTATTTCACGCGAACGGAGTCGCGGGCAAAATCTAGTTATATCATATACGTCCAGGGCATCCAGATCCGGAACAAGAATTTGTTAGTCACATAAAGAGTTGTTCCGTGCGTGAACCCGCGACACGTTGCGCGGCAGCCGGTTGCCCAGCCACCGAAGTCGTGGTTCGGCACGAATGTGTTGGCTCGACCGGAGTGATACCTCGGCTTTAAAGAGTATCGGTGTGAAACAATACTTACGTTGTGTAACTGAGGTACTCGGAGGCCGATCCTTTCCAATCCCCAATTCATGTATCCTCAAATACTTTGAAGTTGCGTGTCTACCACCAAATGGTTGACAGTCAACAACTGGGTTAACGAGAACCTTTCTGCCCCGCACAGCAACTTTGAAATGATCTTCCGGCGGCGGTTGATCCATATCGATACCTACGAGCTTTTAACGTTTAAGTAACGAGCGTACTCCTTCTTAAAAGCCCGCCTGTGACTCCTCTGGTGCTGCGGGTGTCCATGGGCGGCGCCGATCACTTACCATCAGATGATCCATCAGTTCGTTTGCCTCCTATTCCATAAAAAACAGGTGATCCGTCAGCTCGTTTGTCGACCTATTATTATTATTGTAGAATGAAAAAACTTTACGGTTCAATGAGTGCATGGGCGGCACAGGCAGAGACAGCCATAAGCAGATTAGTGTGGGAGAGCCATGCTTCGGCACGAATGGGTCGGCTCGACCGGAGTGATACCACGGCGTCACAGAAAACCGGTGTGAAACAACCACAGCGTTGTGTTTCGCCGTGTGAGTGAGGTTACCGGAGGCCCAATCCTTCCCCTTCCCCAATCCCTCTTCAATCTCTAAATCTCCAAATCCCTAATCCCTAAAAGGTCGGCAACGCACTCGTGACTCCTCCGTTGCGCGTGTCCATGGGCGGCGCTGATTGCTTACCATCAGGCAATCCGTCTACTCGTTTGACGAACTATTACATAAAAAAAAAGTCAGCCTTCATCGATTTTCTTAATACCGATTATCACGGATATCGGCTTCATCTAGTTTTCAAATATAAATTGACGTGTAAAAGTGCCGTTTTATGGCCTATTTGCAAAAATAAATTCATTGTTTCATTGTTTCACGCAAAAATTATATTTGGTCAAATTCTCTACCCTTCACAATGTCTTACACTACAACCTTGAAAATCCTTTGTTTTAATTGTTAGTAAACGGCTAAGAAATAAAAGGTGTATTTAGATCAATTAAACCCCCCATTATTTCGTTCCAGCGATTTAAATCAGCACTCTCAGTTCACACTTCAAACACAAAACCCTCCTTCTGAAGCAGTCGGTTAAAACAATCGGTCTGTTCATTTAACAAAAACACCTTAACAAATTAATTTAAACCATATCACAGGCACTTAAAGTTTAATTTAAAACAATAAGCTTAAAATTTCGCACTTCAACAGAATAATGTTCACACGGGCAATTTTTTTGAACGTATTTTTTGTATATCTACGTTTAATTGAATTTAAACTTTATGGTGAACGAAATAAAGGCTGTATTTATACGTGCACTTCTTTTTTATTTTGCGGAAGCACACACGCTATGTTTAAGCGACATTTAACCTTAAAATTGAGAGCAATAAAGTTGGTTTTACTTTAAAAAGTAAGCGTAGTAATTGATTTCATTTTTTGGTAAGGGATCAGTATCATTTAAATTTTATTGGCCGCACGGAAATTTGGTAAATTTACTAGATGCGTTTCGAAATCGGTACGCATTTAAATTGAAATAAAAATAAAATACAGTAATAATATTTATTTCACTGTTTTACGAAGTTTAATTTGATGTCAAATAGTTTTCTATTCGTGCCTCTTAACAAACAAGCTGAAAGATCACCTGATGATATGGTCATAAGCGTTGCCTATTGACACCAAAACCGAAGGACTAACAAGCGCATTGCCGACCTTTTCAGAAGGAGTGCGCTCGTTTCTTGAAGGCTTGAAGGTCGTATCGGTTCGGGAATACCGTCGCCAAAAGATCATTCCAAAGTTTTGCTGTCCGAGGCAGAAAGTTAATATTTATTAGTACAGTAACTTATACCTACGTTGAAAAGGCATGCCCTTTTATATTTGTACAAGCATTAATACTACAACAATACTTTTGTAGTGGATACATACACTCGACTTGGTGGCACAGTGACTGGGCAACTGGCTGTTGTGCAAGTGCGCAACGTGTCCCGGGTTGATTCGCGCACGGAACTGAACGTGAATTTGTATGTTTGTAAACGCACTCACAACACAGGAGAGAATCCTAGTGTGAGGCAACGTGTTCAAAAGAAAAGAAAAACGAGGAATACAGTACCTACGGGGTACAATATCATCAGAGTTTAATAGGACAAATATCAAACTATCTCAAAAAAAAAACCCGAGTAATTTTTTTGTGCATCACGAAAAGGTTTTTCTGACGCCCTCGCGGTACCCTAAAAAGGGTTAGAAAAACAAACAAAATAAAAAAACAGCTCTTAATTGTCTTAAGTGTTCTAAATAAAAAAAGGGATTGGATTCTTTTGAATTTTAGTTCAGTTAGCCCTTTGTTTCCCACAAGTGGGCTATTGTTGTTGTCCACAATACATTTATAAAACACTGCTGAGCAATAAAAAGCGCTTGTGCTTGGATTATACTATACATACAATAATATATTTTTAAACGAATTAATTTCGTTTTTTTTGTTGTTAATTCGTGAAAGATTTCGTTTGATTGTAATGACTTGTCTGTTTTGCAGCTTATATATAGGTATGAATAAATATATAAATACATAGATGTAACGCCTATTACAAAAAAAAAACAATCGCACATCGCTTCTACTAACAGTATAAGCGCCTATTTCAACGCCTTTATCTTAATTTTGTGATACATAGTCATAGTTCATATAATATGCGTTCTTTATTTAAATTTTCTGGCACATATTGACAATTTAGTCATTGTGAAACAGACTTTTTAAAATGACTGCACGGTTGGCGCGATGACTGGGCAACTGGCTGCCGCGCGACTTCGATTCCCGCAACGGAACAACTGTTTGTGTGATCAACAAATTTTAGTTCCGGGTCTGAGTGTGATGTCTATGTGAAATTGTATGTTTTAAATCGCACCCACGACACAGGAAGCAAGCCTAGTGTGGGAATCAGTTTTTTTTAAATAAGAAGAAAAAAAAAATTCTAAGACCATACGAACAAAATAAATGTTTCTCACTCAATCACGTAAAAACTACTGAACTTATCTGAGTGGAATTTAGCATATAAGTATATAGATTATAGTCTAGAGTTATTCATAGTGTTATGTTTTTAGCTAGTGGCAGTAACTAGAATCTAGTTGTATAGAACTTTTTTGTGAATCAAATGACTTCCTCTGCTCTGGTTGAAGCGAGAGGGAGTGTCAGTCTCTTACTGACTAAAAACCCCCCTGTTCCTTCTACTACTCTGGACCTGAGCCGCGGTACACGATTTCGCTTGTGCCCGCAAGGCTTGCAGTCGTATAGTATAGGGGTTCAATCCACGCGAGTGTAACTTCAAAATAAAATTACTTGTATAAAAAAATAACAATTTGAACCCTATGTTCCTACTACAGACCATATGGTCCCCATATGGGCTTAATAAACTTAATATACATAACAGTAACTATCAATTTGAGTAATTGAAAAAACCACGCATTAACGAATTCAATTACGCTATAGTACTACGAAATAATGACCGCCATTTTTAATTGAATGATTTACTTAATGAAAAAAATGTGTCATTATATTTATGAAATTCAATTTTGTTGTTGTTGTCAGTTTGTTGATGATGTGTTTCCCTTATTTGGGGATTATTAATTAACTAGTAATTACCAGGTCGTGGTGGCCCAGAGTTTTCGAAACCTGACAAGTACAAATGTAACTTTTTCCGTGTTATATGTACTTCCTATGATTATTTAGACACCACTGATAAGAAAAACATTGTGACGAAACCCAGACTTATAATTTCTGTCACCACGGCTAGTTATATGCTTACCATCAGAAAATCCATCAGTCAATAAATTTGCTACAAAAAATGCAACAAAAACCATCTAGAAATCATAAACATTATTGGGTGAACAGGCTTCTTTTATTACATACATAATATCTTCAAGTCATTAATCATAATAATGACACAGGTAATATTAAGAAAAAAGTTCGTAATGATTTCTTAAATTCGTCACAGTGCACCCTATTGAGTTAATGGAGTCCTTTTTATAATCTTTTTGATGAATTACATAAGTTTACCTTCCATTTCTATAATAGGCAAAATTTTATACTATATAATGTAAAATTCCCATGTCAGAAATGTTCGGTCCCATATTCCTACGAAACGGCTCGACCGATTGTTATGAAATTTTATGCATAGGTATTTAGTTAGTCTAAGAATCGTCTACTATATATGTATACACACATAGGTAGTTGTCTAACATCTAAGTGATAAAGGGTGTCTTTATTTTGTTTTTATTATGTGGCATTAAAACTTCTTTTACTCGGGACTTCTTTTGCGGTCTTATATAAAATTATCTCATTAAAATTATTACCAATAACTACTCTTAACTATAAAGATATCGCTGTTTTTTAATAAACTTCATATTTACAAGAAACATTAATACAGAGATATGTTTAACTTGAAATACTCATTCTCTTGTTCACAGTGAGACCACTCTGGGTCCGACTTCAAGGTGGCAAGCGGCCTTTGGTGGCTGGCCAGAGCACAGAGCTGGTGTGCCAAGCCGTGGGAGCCAGGCCGAAACCCACTATCTCCTGGTGGAAGGGAGGAACCAGGTTAAAAACTGTTAGAGAGACGGTAAGTTGCATGTTTTAAATTATAAGTGTAGGTTTTTTTTTCTTAAAAGAAACGTGACTTGGCGTGGTTGCGTTCAGAAACATACAATTTCACATACACATGACACCCAGACACGAAAAAACAATTGTGGATTACACAAAGCGTTTTCACATTTTTGTTTATCACTTATAATTATTATTAATGTGACAGTTAATGAGAATTTACGGATGTATGTTTATTTATTTTTCACGCAAAACCGGCTAGACCGACTTCGTATGTAGATAGGTGATACTAACAATTAACACAGAGGCTACTTTTTATCAACATACAGCTCAGACGAAGCCGCGAGCAAAAGCTTGCACATTAACCTACACAATAAACTAAAAAAGAGATGTCAACGTATCTACTATAATCGATATTATATTTCTTATCTTTACAACACTGATCAATGAACACTAAAACAAAACACAACTTAATGCAGAAACCCGACACTTACATGATAAGTCTATCAGAACATTCCAACTGTACCAGCCAGCTTTGTTTACCTTGCATTCATTTCATTTCACGCCAGATGGCCGTTCGAAACGATAAATACCAAGTAGTGGTGCACTATACTCCGGATAGTTTCGGCCGAAACTTCAAGTTTAGCCGAAACCGAAACTCGTCTTATTATATTCATGGGTTAGAACTTTGCTGGACAACGCTGGTTCTTGTTTGGAGTTGTAAGGTTGTAGGCCAAGTATGTTGGCATGTAGAATATGATAATTTTGGTATAAGATTACTTTATATTAAATCTTTTATTAATTGGAAATTACAATACGCTTACAAATTACTACGCACAGTCGAAGCATAAAATACATTATAATAATTAATTAAAGTAATATAACTGAATGATTTATAAATAAGTCAAAACTTTAATCACAATAATCTATTCAGAATAACACAAAAAGAAACTCGCTTGTTATTCTCGCGACTTAGTTTCGGCTTTACAACAAAAGGCCGAGACGCCGAAACTTTTAAATTGGCACCACTCTAAAAGGGCAAGCGCCAAACAACATTATTCTGATCGGATTCCTTTTCTTTCTTTTGTTTTTTTCCTTTTAAAACTTTCATTGAAACGGGGTATATCTTAATTAAATTGACTGAACTAAAATGTCCTTTAGATTAAGGTTTAAGTCTCAATCCTAATTAATTCGCTCGTTTGTATTACTGTCGGTAATAGGGCTTCCATGTGCTGTCGTGATTGCTTGTCGTTTTTACGAGCATACGCATTAAGTACCTGATGGTAAGCAATCGGCGTCGCCTATGGCCACCCATAGCAGTTACGATTGCATTACCTTTGCCATTGTGGAGATAAGGGGACGGGAAAGAAGAATTGAGCTACCGGTAATCTCACTCACACGGCGAAACGCAACGCTACCTGTGGTTGTTTTACGCCGGTTTTCTGTAAGTCGTGGTATCACTACGACCCATTCGTACTTAAACTTGGCTCTTTAAGACTAGAAATTTAATTTATATATTATATCAGTATTTTCTCTGTCTTTGCGGTTAAGCCCTCGATCTCGTAGTTCTGTGTATTCATTTCACCTAAATCTGAATAGCAGTTCATGAGTCGACATGAGACGCGTATAATATACAATCATCTATATAATACACAATGTAAATTCTTACAAACACACCAAGTCTTTTAGGACTTATTACTCACCCATTAAACAGAACGCTACAAGAAAAATCCCCCATAACTACATTATTAAATCCTCCAAGCAAACAACTAACGCCACCTCTTATCCTACACCAGAACTAAAAAGCGAAACTGATATAAACCCCAATAGATGTCACTACTATCGCGATGCCCTCATGTCAGGCAACCTAATTACCTAACATTACGACAATCTAGATTGACGTGGACAGCACAATAGTAGGCTGTCATTAAACTCGAGTTGTATATTGGAGTCTTGAAGACAGAATCGAGAATCGAGAATCGGTAATGGTTCGATTTGAATCGATTGATTGAATGGTAGGGTTGAGTTTGACGTGTTCCTTTTTTGTCTGATTGCAAGATACGTGAGTTGGTTATTTTTAAAGGACAGTTCCTTTGAACTTTTTGCGCTCATTGACACGCTACCTAATTAAAGGGTTTCCGTTATGCCATTTATTCTGCGAAAGGGCAAAGTAAAAAAGCTGCCCGATTTAAATTTTTCGTAAGAAAGTTTAATTATGATTAGTCTCATATAATACGGATAATTCGACAACCATATTTTTTTAACGTTGCTCCACTCTAGAAAATATTATCCTGTCTACGACACAGTGTGTTTACAAACATACAAATTCACATACACAAGCCACCCGGAACCCGCGACACATTGCAAAGCAGCCAGTTGCCTTTCCCCTGAGCCAAGCGTGCAGTCAAACCGGACGTAATATCAGACTTGCAATTTATTAAACATTATAAATATAAAATACTTTTCGACCTTCTACTCAAAGTGCGGTTGCTTATAGATACTACACCGAAAAAAAGCTTTAACAAAATATGGCAAAAACAAAAACAACCAGGTTTTCCAAATTCTATTGACAATACCTATACCAATTTGTTTTAAGTCTACCCAACTCTGAAGCGATAGGTCATTGTGATGCGGTTTATCCATTGTGCACGATCCATATTGTCATAGTTCGAAACAAAAGGATCCAATCAGACTATAGTGAAGAAGTGTGCTTTGAAATTTTAGTGGATCTGAAAATTGTTCTATGGATGGGATACTCCAAAATATACCTGCACATCTTCAACAGCCTATTAGTGCCCACTGTTGAGCAAAGGCCTCTTGTCAGACGGAGAAGGTTTGAGCATTTATCACCACGCTTGCTCAAGGCGGATAGGTGATTTAAAACTTATAATAAGAGATTATAAGTCCAGGTTTCCGCGCGATGTTTATCTTCAACGTATGTCAGTGGTGTCTAAAAAGACATTTTTAAAAAGTACATATACTAGGAAAAAGTCACATTGGTACTTGCCATGTTTCGAACCCGCACCCTCATGCATCTGAAATGAGCGCCTTTACCTCCGGACCACCAAAACTCAAATAATACCTGAGTACTGATGCTTTTTTGAGTAGAAAAAATCATTGAATGGCTTTCCTCGTCCTAGCTGATAGAGTTTCAGAATCCTACTGACTAAAAACTACTCCGTTCCTTCTCCTGCTCCAGCCGAATTACAGTTTGCTGTTTCCAATTCTGCACATTGATGCTGGTGTGCCTTTTGATTATAAAAATGTTTAATCTTGAGTTGATCTCAATCTGAAAATTAAAAAATTGCCTTTTGACGACTTACTAGCCTAAAACTATATTTCAAAGATCGTCTTTGTCTCCAGACCTCCACGGATGGCAACGTCACGAGCAGCATCCTGACCTTCGTGCCAACAATAGAAGATGCTGGTAGAGTGCTGTCCTGCAGAGCAGTGCAGCCCAGTCTACCACATTCCACCCACGAAGATGGGTGGAAAATGGAGATACAGCGTGAGTAGACTTTTTTAGAGTTTATAAATTGGTTAGAATTATTTCTAATTGAGAATGCTTGACTGTTTTGAGAAAAGTGCTTACCCTTTTTAGAAGAGAAGCGACGCCGATTTGTCTTCTTTTATTTCCATTGGGTGACTGATCACTTACCATAAAGTATTGCTCTTCACAATAAGTTCCTACTAACAAATTAAAAGTAATTAATATACAATCAGAATGATGCCCAAAAAATATACTGGCATTTTCGCCATGTCTTTGGCAGCCCTCTGCTGCGTTTTACTTTCTCTGTTTTAGTCTAGCCAAAGTCAGAAGTACCTAATTTATATTCGAACGAAATATTGACATACAATTTTTGCTTCTAAACAGATTTACCGGTAGCCAAACTGGAATTGGGAGCTAACCTGGACGCCAGCAAAGTTGTGGAAGGTTCAGACGTGTACCTGGACTGCAGAGTACGAGCTAATCCATGGCATAACCATGTCTACTTCACACATAATGTAAGTCATTGAGGATTGAGGATGACCTGTTATTAGTTTAAAAATGACCCAATCAGGGATAAAGTGGCAAAAGAAGTATCAAGGAGTAAAGCCTGCTATAATTTTATTTTATCACCTCACCAGCGTGGGTCCTATATGGACCCTACTTTTAAAATAAAGTTAGTGGATTGTTAAAAAAAAGACTCCATATACGTTAAGATTGTCTTGAGTCCGAGTTTGATATAAAAATCTGCCATTTACCTTCCTTATCTTGAGTTTAGCTAAGGCTGCATAATCAACTCTAAGAATAGTGTTTCTGTTTTTTTTTTATTTCTTTATAGGTTAGTTCAGCAAACAAGCAGACGGATTATTAGCAATGATGGTAAGCAATCGACGCAGCCATGGCCCTCATAATTTCGAAGGAGTTACTACAAGTGGGTTGCAGACCTTTTGTGCTTAACATAAACAAGACCAATTCTTGCTTTGACAGTCACGCACGAAAATTGGTCTCTTTAACTGATTTACTACAAAGCCTGCTAACTTATTCCTTTTTTCCAGGGTGTTGTTGTAAAACCAGGTCTTGGAGTCCTACTAGCCAACCAGAGTTTAGTTCTCCAGCGAGTGTCCAGAAAAGCTGCTGGTGCTTACGTGTGTTCAGCTAGAAATGCATTAGGGGAAGGGTCTTCTGAAAACCTCATTTTGGACGTAAAATGTAAGTGCTTTAACCTTCTCCGTGTGAGAAGAGGCCTTTGCTCAACAGTGGACACTTATAGGCTGATGATGATGACTATTCAACCATTTTCAAACCTACAAACCAAACAAATATTAATCAATAATTGCAGTAACTGTCAAAATTTTAAAAGCAAACGTTAATTTATTGAAAACTAAAGTGTAACTCGGAAGCCATTTCAAAATTTATGTTCCACGTAACTCGAAGAAATACTATAATTTATGTCTTTAAGTTTTAAACTATAAGTTTTCATACCGCAATCTATCCTTAGTCGTACCGGTTTAGTATTACAACCTACTTCTGTATTCTGATTCTATAAATTTCTTTTTTAATGTGATAGCACAACAAACGAGCAGACGGATTACCTGATGGTAAGCAATCACCGCCGCTCATGGACGCAACGATGGAGGAGTTGCGAGTGCGTTGCCATTTTTTTGGGGATCAGGGTCTTGGGGATTTAGGGATTGGAAACACAACGCTATAATTGTTACACGCTGGTTTTCTGTGAGGCCGTGGTATCACTTCGGTCGAGTCGACACATTCGTGCTATTGGCTGTTAATATAAAACTATTGGGCGGCGCTAATTACTTACCACAAAAAACAAGTAATCATACACGTGAGCCTTGTATGAGACGCACACTATAAATTGAAGAAAATCAATGTCATGTTTCTGACGCCATTTTCTTTTACAGTCGTTCCTACGTGCAAGTCCACACAACCAATAGTGGTGCGGGCAGCTAGAGGAGAGATCATTGAGATAGACTGTGACCTGGACGCTAATCCTAAGGTAAGAGTCTGTTGACACCGGTTTTATAATCAGTTCAAATTACTTGATTTTAAGGTCATCTATTGGAGGTATATTGTTTGACACATCTTGTGTCGTGAATGCGAATATTGCAACCTACTTTTAACTCTGCCATATATATATTTTTTTTAATGTTATAAGTCGGCAAACGAGCAGACGGATTAGCTGATGGTAAGCAATCAACGCCGCCCATGGACACCCACAACGGGGGAGTTACGAGTGCGTTGCCGACCTTTTAGGGATTAGGGATTTGGAGATATAGGGATTAGGGAAGGGTCCGGGAAGGGGAAGGATTGGGCCTCCGGTAACCTCACTCACACGGCGAAACACAACGCTGTGGTTGTTTCACGCCGGTTTTCTGGGAGGCCGTGGTATCACTCCGGTCGAGCCGACCCATTCGTGCTGAAGCATGGCTCTCCCACACTTAATTGTTTATACTACATAAACATGTTCCGTGGAGTCATAGCTTCTTTGTTTTAGCTTTTGACTCTAGTGAACCCAAGGTGGATGAATGTTAAGTGATTTTGCCCCCTCTAAAAGGAGGGGCTGAAAATTTTTCTTCTATAAAATGTAATAACAACAGATGAATGAAAAATAAGAAACAGTTGCATACATTCTATTATTTTTTTTTTTCCTTATTATAATGTCATAGTACTCATTGTTTTATTATTGTAAATTTTACAATGACTGTGTGCACCTAACTGTTTTTTAATTTCAAAAGGCTACTCAAAGTTATAAGTACTACCGCTCTACATACTTTGAAAATCAAAATTACCTATATTATTTTGCCTACTATGAGAATCTACGAGAGAAATGCTAATCGACTAAAATAATCGAATACTCTAGTTATGACATTGACAGTGAACAGTGACATATGTCAAAATTTACGTCAAACACATTCATTTACTTTATTATTTTACCTAAATGCCTTTCGGCGTGTAAGTAACTCAGCCAGCCGAAATTATGTCAAAAAAAGCTATTCATAAGAAACGCAATGTCATATCGGATATTAACTACTAGAGAATTTCCATATAAAAGCCTAGACATCGGTCTAAGGCCTAGGCCTTGTGAAATTTAACAAAGTCATCAATCGTGCGACATTAAAAAAATATTAGGTATTCTTAAATTTTAATAAAACGCTGAGTAACCCATTAATTGAAGATTTACGTCGCCATTAGCCATGCTCGATTGTGCACAGAGTGTAGAAGAAGAAGGTCAACTATTTGCACAATTTGTTTTAGCATTTGATAAGTAATTTTATTCATTGAACCATAAGACTGAAAGTTAATATATAATGCTTAATGATGACAATATTTTTGAAATAGGTAAGTTTAAATACGGCGCCATTTTTTTATCTCAAATCAACTCCAGGTACATTTATAGTGTTTATTTCTGGATGTCAATAACGTTTTTGTGTTAAAATAAATCACAAGTCAATTTTGCTGCTATAGTTTTAAATGTAGGTGATATGGAATAAAAAGTTTTATCGAAATTTGATATCTGACTTTCTCCGTATATCCACGAGGCCTTTTTATATGATAGACCGGCAAACGGGCAGACGGAGGAGAAGTTCCACACTTTATTCAGCATTGGGCACTGTTAACCTGATGATAATAAATATCTGAGACAATATGCGACTTTCACTCAACGAAGTTAAAATTAATTAAAAAGGCACATAATCTGTTTGTACCTTCTCCATAATATTTAATCTATGGCTATCAAGAATCAGGTCTCAAGGTCATAGTGTTGAAGTTCCACATAAAGAATGGCATTGTAGCCACTAGGGTGCCCTTCGAATGCCCTCGACCTTCCTAACTTTTGTGACATAATGTTTGTTTTACTAATTTCTGAAATTCATACAATTAATACCTGAATTATGTAATCCAATTATTAAGTTAAACGCGAGTATAGACAGTGATTATGTAATTTTCGTGTTATATAGGAAGGAAAGTAATTTTATGATTTCCGTTGTCAATAAGGAATGTACTTCAGGTTAATTAGAGGCCATTGGCTCGTCTAAGTTAAATACTGTATGGTCAATGCGGACTGCGAGGTACCCGCCCGACCAGAATCAGACGCGAGCAGATAGAGCACCATAGATGTGGCCCTACGGTCCAATGTTCAGCCGGGGTTTCGAGTCAAAATAATGTACCGCAGCTTCGACCTGGGGCAGAAGAAGGAACAGGGGGATTTTAAGCCAGTATGAGTCTTACACGTCCTCTCGTCTTACACGGGGCGAGGAAGTCATTTGATTATTTTACCCCACAATAAACCGACTTCGATGTACCTATGGATGGTAGGGATCTGGAAGGTGAAGGATTGGGCCTCCGGTAACCTCACACGGCGAAACACAACGCTTGTTTCACGCCCGTTTTCTGTGAGGCCGGGGTATCACTCCGACTGAGCCGACCCAATCGCCAACCCGCATTGAGCAAGCGTGGTGATTAATGCTCAAACCTTCTCCGTGTGAGAAGAGGCCTTTGCTCAGCAGTGGGCACTTATAGGCTGATGATGATGATGATGATGATGAGCCTTACACTGGGCGAGGAAGTCATTTGATTATTTTACCCCGCAATAAACCGACTTCGATGTACCTATGGATGTTTTCATGTATCTACCGTAGATCTTGACTTATAGGAGTTGGGTTTTGGGTAAAAATTACAATACCATACACTTGAAGTCTGCCTACATACATTTTTTTTAACGACCTGACAGATTACCTGATGGTAAGCAATCGGAGGAGTTACGAGTGCGTTACCGACCTTTTAGGTATTAGGGTTTTGGAGATATGGGGATTGGGGAGGGATCGGGGGAGGTGAAGGATTGGGCCTCCGGTAACCTCACTTACATGGCGAAACACAACGCTTGTTTCAGGCCCGTTTTCTGTGAGGCCCGGGTATCACTCCGACCGTGCCGACCCATTCGCGTCGAAGCATGGCTCACACACACATACACATTTTTACTTAAGCTACCTAAAAGCAATATAACATACAAACATACAAATTACAAATCCTACCTACGCATTTGCCGTAAGTACTTTGAGTGTATATACAAAACAAGCAATTGCGCACTTAAATGTCAAGAAACAAGCAATATTAATACTTAAGCACGTGAGCATACCAATGATTTTCCCCTAAATTCATATTATATCAAAGAGAACGTATGAAAGAATTGAGTTTTAATATATAAATCTTTCTTATTACATGTTTTTCATATCTACGTAGGTACGTCGTAGATTTCCTAAAGGTCTGTACAGATGAGTGGCTTTGAAATGTTGAGGACAAATTTAATATGTATGAAAAAATCTACAGTCAAGGTTAATACGTATAAGAGCCAAGGAGAATGGGACCGGAGTGATATCGCGTCCTCTCATAAAACCGGCGTGAAACAACGCTTTTTTTTGAGGTGGGAAAATCAGCACCTCCCCCCCCGTTCCTTTTCCTGCTCCAGGCCGAGGCTGCGGTACCTTATTGCACTTGACCCATCTTAAAATCGGCCCTGTTCTGCCCGAGTGACAGAATCTGTGATTCCCGAAGGAGTATATCCTAGGTGCCCTCAACGCTGGAATAGGTTGCTTTTGTATAGGCGTATTCCATCGTAGGTCACATCATCAGTTACCAACAGGCGAGAGAGTGGCTAAAAGCCCTTTGCTGACTTGCAAATAAAAAAGTTTTTGAAACAAGAAAGGAGCGAATGGGTCGCCTGGACCGGAGAGATGCGATGGCTTCACAGAAAATCTTGTGTTTCAGCGTGTGAATTAGATTAGCCGAAGCCAAATCCGGGAAAGGGAACCCCGATACCTAAATCTCCGAAAGTCCGACAACGTACTCGTAACTCCTCCATTATTGCGTGTGTCCATGGGCTGCGGTGATTAATTAACATTAGGTTCCTATCCGTGTCGTGGTGGCCCGGAGGTTAAGGAGACCGCTTCTCATGCATGAAGGTGTGGGTTCGAAACCTAGCAAGTACCAATGTGACTTTTTCCGAGTTATATGTACTTTCTATGATTATTTAGACACCACTGACATACGGTATAGGTAAACATCGTGAGGAAACCTGGACTTATAATTTCTACTTACAAGTTTGAAATCGCCAACCCGCATTGAGCAAGCGTGGTGATTAATTCTCTAACCTTCTCCGTATGAGAAGAGGCCTTTGCTCAGCAGTGGGCACTTATAGGCTGATGACGATGATAAGGTTCCTATCATTAAGAAAAATCAACATCACTCGTTAAAGTCAGTGAATCAAGTTTATCGGATTAAAGTTTCCTGTATGTACAGACCCTTAGATTACGGTTCTATATCTTAGCACCGGGATTTTTTGGTTTTAATAACGACGTGTTCAAATCTTCGTAGAAAACGGAAAGAAAGAAAAATACTATGTTATGAGATGCTTGTTGGTTTTTTTCTATATGATAGGACGGCTAACGATCTTACGGACTACCTGATGGTAAGCAATTAGTGCCACCCATGGTCGCCTGCAACATTGGAGGAGTTACGAGTGCGTTGCCAACCGTTTGGGGATTGGGGAAGGGGAAGTATTGAGCGTCCGGTATGGTCACTCACAGCGAAACACAACGCTACCTACCTACGCATACCCAGAAGGTATATATTTTGGTATCACTCCAGTCGGACCGACCCAGTCGTGCCGAAACATAGCTCTTCCACATTTAAAAATCACCTGCAAAGGCATCTTATCATGTGGATTACCTGATGGTAAGCAATCGGCGCCGTCCATAGATATTCGTAATACTAAACGAGTTAAACATGCGTTGCCGACCTTTTTGGTTTCTCCAAAAAGTCATGATAGTGTTTTTGTCTTTTGATGTGTTTGTATTGAGCAAGCGTGTTTATAAATACTAATACTTATCTTCTATGTGTTAAAGGAGGCCTCTGCACAGCAGTGGGCTGATGATGATCATGTGGGTTTTTTTTAGTTAAAACAGTACTTAGTCACAAAAAAGGTCCTTAACCAGAACTCTAGGAATGATTAATTGTTCACAAATAAACCGTTAAGTATTTAGAAAAAACTTTGAAATATCAGTTTAAAATAAAACATAAAATATATTGTACACTATCTTCAGTATCTTCGAAAAACGGCGCATTTTTAAATTTCAATAATACTTTTTACCGACAATATAACAATCAAATATGAAATAAATAAATAAATAAAAATCAATTTTCACCTCTATTATCTACGGAAAACGGACATTTTTCAAATTGCAACAATACGTTACTGAGAGTAAGGTCGATCAAATTTTATCAATATTGGCATTTTCAAAATGGCTGCCGGTACCGAAACATTGTTATTTTCAATTTCACGTGTAAAAATATTACCGTTCGGTTAGTTAAAATACTGCAAAAAGTTATTTATTTTAACTACGAACGTAAGTTACTGGCTTTTTTTTTTCATTTGATACGATGGTTTTATTTACTTTGTTTTTTTTTATCAACGGATGTTTTACGAATTTTCCGTCGAACACATAAATCATTATCGAAAGAGTTTTTAAATTTATATTTTTATTTTTTTATGTAACTTTACTACAACACACAGGCTTTATTTGGCAGTATGTTTTTAAAGAATATTTTTTGAAACAAATTTTAAGTAATTCTATATTTGAACACTAGTGAAATTTTTTTTTTTCGTATTTTTATAAAATTTCTTATTTTAAATAGATTTTCATGGGATCTTGTGACATGTGATGTAATTTTTGTGTGTCAAATTATGTGAGAAAAGCTCTATACACACACTTTCAAATCACAACGGGACTCAGAATATCATGCGACTGCTGTCTTAATTTGATAGTACCATTAAAAATATTATTTCCAAAGAGTTTAAATCTACCCAAAATAAGAAAAAGAAAATAAAATTTTCCACTTCTTGTAAATTACTCCATAACATATGATACGGTAGAAGTATGTTGCTATTCTACTTCAGATAATACTAGAAATGAGGCTTAAAATTATGTACAATCTCTACAAACCGAGCTATATTGAGAAAATATGAGCATACCTGGACAATCCCAGCGCGAGTTTCTCATGAATAATATAATACTCTATCAGTGTGGATACTTTACCTCGTATATTATGCCCCAGATCCAGTTTTCTTACCTCTATTCCGTGGATGGACAAAAACTATACTAGAAACCATTTACTTTTTTTATTGGCCTGGCTTTTGTAGGAGGGGGGGGGGGGGAAGTCATCCAATCACTTCTCTCGCCGGTCTTTTACTGTTTAAAAACTTCCTTGTTCCTTCTCCAACTCGAGTATCCCGCAAGCATATAATGTATACAGGAATTGGGTTTTCAATGTGTGTGCGCCATGCTTCGGCACGAAAGGGTCGGCTCGACCGGAGTGATACCACGTACTCACAGAAAACCGGCGAAATAACAAAACCGTTGTGTTTCGCCTTGTGAGTGAGGTTACCGGAGGCCCAATCCTTCCCCTACCCCATTCCCCAAAAGGTCGACATCGCACTCGTAACTCCTCCGTCGTTGCGGGTGCCCATGGCGGGCGGCGCTGATTGCTTACCATCAGGTAATCCAATTGCTCGTTCGCCGACCTATCGCATTAACAACCTATGGTCAGAAAACAAATACCTTAGTAGAACTTCTATTTTCTTACCACTTATAGTGAACACTGAAGAGTATAATACTTACTTATACTATACTTGCTCCCCATATAAAAATCTGTAAATATTTTGCAGATAAATATTGACTAGAAATCCTTAGTTTTTCCTACGGACTATTAACCAAAAGTCGTTCTTTCTTTGTTACGTACCTACATATATCATTATGAGAATACCCTATTTTCAATAGAAAATTATAACTTTCTGAATTTAAACAAGTAAAGCTTTTCTTAGTTGATTAAAAAAATAGACCTCCAAATCTACATAATACAAACAATATCTACCAAATATTTCAATACATATAAACAACCTCATTCCAACCCTATGTTATATCAGGGAAATGGAAAATCATCCATCATTAATCCCATAAATAATTCACAATGGTTTATTTGAAAACACATTGATTTCAACGGCCAATATTAATTGGTATACGCCATTTTGAAAGTCCGGTACAACAATCCGGCGCAAGCGGCCATTTTGATTATTTCAATTTGGAATTAACAACGTTCCTTTTTGTAATAATTGATGCGTGTTGACAAAGGCGCATTATTCAGTTTATTTGTAGTAATGAGTTCCAGTGTCTCGTTTTAAATCGGAAATGAATATTTTGGGTGATGCATTGAGCGATTGACGTAATGTCGTTTCACGGAATTTCTTTGCCCACTGCTGTTGCTTACGTAATGCGGATGTCTTTACATTTTTGTTTGTTTTCGTTGAGTATAAAAATATGGAATAGGTACCTACACAGGACATAACTATAGTCTTGGTTATGGTATGTCTCTCTTTCGCATTTTAGGTTCGTTTTTGGAACCTTACAATAAAATTCTGCATTAATTATGTACGTAAGTTCTATCGACCCACTCCGTCCTCGCATGTTTCTGTTAGTAACTATTTCATGGATGTTATTATACATAAAAACCTCTATCTTCAATCACTATACCTATTAAAAAAACCGCGTCAAAATACGTTGCGTAGTTTTAAAGATTTAAGCTTAAATAGGAATGAAGGGACAGAGAAAGCGACTTCGTTTTATACTGTGTAGTGATATCATTTTACAACAAAATTACATACATATAGGCTTCTCTTAAACAAAAACTCTAGTTCTGAATTTAGGCTACTGCTCCTTACAAATAATTTGGCATGAAAACAAGAACATGTTTCATAATGTATCTTTATCTTTGTCCCCAGGAGTCAATGTCGTACCACTGGTGGTTCAACAGTTCCGCCCACAGCAAACACGAGCTCACCACATCACCGATGAGTACCGTTCCCAATCTACCAGGTAAGTAACCAGTATCTACCATTTCCTTCATAACTTCTTGGGGATTTACAACCTCTTTCTTTTTCCTTACATTAGGAGCAGATTATAAAAGACGTTCTTTTTATAAGTATTTCGTACACAAAATAAGTATTTATTTATCAGCACATAGTAACAATCATGTCCAACAGATGGTGTTACATGTCTCTAAACCACGCAAGTGACGTTAAACGTACTGATCGCCTAGCCTGTTCGAAGGATCCCCCTTTTCCTATATTATGGAAATTTACTCTCAGTTCGTGTCCGTAAAATATCCATCGAATGTCTGTCTTTGGACAATTTACCTTCTTTGGATGGAATTTTAAGCCAGAATTGTATTAATGTGGCGTGGTTTATGGTGAGAACAAGCGACATAACACAACCAACGCGACAGTCATGCTGGTCCTAAATGTGACCAATAGTCTTCTGGCGAAAACTTCACAGAAATATATCTAATAACACATTTTTTTTTCAAAGTTAAAGGGTATCAAGTCTATTTGCAAGCCCGAATCACAACCTCTCAAAAACCGCTGCCACTCCTGATGCCAGGATCTAAAAAAAAAAACAAAAATTATATTTTTATTCGAGTCTAAAACGTCTAGACACAAAAAAAAAACAATTGTATATAAACATAAAAAACATGGTAATGCAATATAAAAAAGAGTAATATAAAGAAAAGTATGCGTCACAAGCACGCAAAATGGCCCTCGCTCAGCATATGCAGCGACACTATACAGCATAGACAGTGTCGCAGCGCTGATTTTCAGCGATGGCATCTACAGTACATACAACCTTGAAAACACCGAAACACTGAAGTCGAGCGCGTCCCAGGGACATGAATGACTGTCTTAGATCCAGATCTTAGGAGACGAAAAAAAAGAATTTTCTTATATTTTATAAATGTTATATTAATAGGAGAACTAGGCTCTATCCTCTAGAGTTTTAAGTCTAAATTACCTTTTTTGTTCTAGGCACCTACGTTTACATGGTGAATACATCATCGGACTATGGCTGGGTCCAATGTTCGGGAACAAACTCCGTGGGGCGACAGACGAAGCCATGTCTATTCCATATACTACCAGCTGGTGAGTCAAAAATATAGAAACTTTCTGCCCCGTACAGCAAAAAAATGGAATGATCTTTTGGCGGCGATATTTCCGATCCGATACGACCTATAAACCTTCAAGAAACGTGCGTAACTGCAGAAACACAATACTTACTTTTTATTGTAATTTTCATCATTATTGTGCAAGTAACGTAAATTTTTTTTTATGTAATAGGTCGGCAAACTAGCAGACGGATTACCTGATGGTAAGCAATCAGTGCCGCCCATGGACACCCGCAACGGTGAAGTTACGAGTGCGTTGCCGACTTTTTAGGGATAAGGAATTTGGAGATTTAGGGATTGAGGAGTGATTGGGGGAGGAGGATTGGCCTCCAATAACCTCACTCACCCGGCGAAATACAACGCTGTTGTTGTTTCACGCCGGTTTTCTATGAGACCGTGGTATCGCTTCGGTCGAGCCGACCCATTCGTGCCACACTTTAAGATTTTCTGTTGGAGTCCTAATCAATTAAAGTACAGTGTAAAAGTGTCAATCTGTCGGTCAGCCCTCTACAGAAGCTATTTACTCATTACAAATTGTAATGTAGGGGCTGACCGACAGATTGACATTTTTAAACTTTACTTGATTAGGACTCCAACAGAAAATAAACGTTACATGCACAATAATGAAGAAAATTACACTAAAAATCTATTCCAATGAGCAAATGGACAGAAGCTATTTGCTCATTCCAAAGTTGTCCAATAAGCAATTGGACAGAACCTATTTGCTCATTCCAAAGTTGTCCAATGAGCAAATGGACAGAAGCTATTTGCTCATTCCAAAGTGTAATGTACACTTTACATTACAATTTGGAATGGGTAGACAGCTTCTGTCCAATGAGCAAATTTCCTATGAAGAAAAACAATCAAGCAACTCCATGGTTACTCTATTTCAATCAGTTTCACAATCTGATTCTTTTTTAAATTATTAAGTCATACAGTAACAGTAACTAATAAAAATTTCATTTAACAGGATTTTAACCTTTATTAATTTCTGTACAGATAAGCCTTCAACACCGAAATCGTGTGAGATCACCAACGTGACATACGACTCTTTAACTCTGAACTGCACACCAGGCCATGACGGCGGGATCCATCAGTCATTTTTATTAGAAGTAAGTGGCAATAGCTCTTTAATAATATCTTAGAGACTGTAGCTCAAGACTTCTGTGGGTTTTGTTTAGTATTCGCTATGTGCGAAGTGGGTGGTGGGGAACGGCAAATCGATCGTAGCGCACGACGTGGCAGAAATGTGAATTAATTCTGGACTGTCATGTGTCAAATTGCTCAATTTTCATAACATCCTTCATAATTTTAAGTAAAAACGTAAAAATTTGCTATATGTGTCACAGTACATGCTGTGTCGTAAATTGTAAAACAATGGGAAAAACAATTCGTGCAAGTTTTATTCGTTTCCAACATCAAAGTGGACATTACGGCAAGGGCAAAAATTGATAGCTGCTGTGAAGAGAATTAAAATTGATTAAAAATTGGGCACTGTCATCGCGCACACAACGAATACCATCTGGTACCAGAATAATTTGGTGCCAAAGAAAAATGTGATACTATTTGGTGATAGAAGCTAGTTCTGCAAATCAAGCATATATGGTCTGAAAGTTATTGAAACCCGTTTAATATATTTTGTTTCAATAAGCTAATAATACCTTCTTCATAGGTCAATTTTATTATTTCGAAAAAAGTTGTCATTTTATATGAGAAAGGTCGACAAACGAGCAGACGGATTACCTGATGGTAAGCAATTGACGCCGCAAATAAATACCCGCAACACCAAGGGAATTATGAGTGCGTTTTCGGCCTTTAGGGAAAGTCGTTCGGATTATTGTGGATTGGGAAGGGATGGGGGGGGGGGGGAGGAGAATTTGCCTTCTCACTCACACGGCGAAACATGACTCTGTGGTTCATGCTGGTTTTCTGTGAGGCCAGTATCACATATCCATTCGTGCCGTAGCTTGGCTCTCCCATAGAACTGTCTTGTTTTTCAAACTGTTTTTCTTGTTCTTAAGCTGTTTATTCCTTCATGATATGGGCAGAGCTGTCCTTCTTAACAATTTTAACATTATTATTCCTGATATCGTGTTTGTTCTCAAAATAATGGAAAACCTGTGAAAAAACCTAAAAGTTGTATTATAAAAAAAATATCTCTATCAATATCATAGAAGCCTTTAAATCTAACCAATAAAAATCCGAAACAATAGAATACAGAATAGAAAAAAAAACGTCAATAAAATCATTTGTCTTTGCCCTCACAATAAAGGAACACGTTCAAAAAGTATTTTATGTCATTCAAGACTTATTTATGATGGAAATAAGTGACAGTAATAGGACAAATTGTTATCCATAGACAAATATATATTTAACACATTCGACACTGGCAGAATAGTCGACAACATTAAAGACTCAGTTGCCATAAATGAAAAAAAAAATATTTAACACATTCAACGAAACCTTAAAGATACACTATTCCTTTATCAAAATGAACCGTGATATCTTTTATCTTTTGTCTTTTATTGACAATAAATTTGGTAAAAAGATATCATAATTTTATTTCGTAGAATATTTTCTTACTTTGTAATTTCTAGACAATGTTTTTGTGTATTTTCTAAATAGAATTAGCTTTTGTTGTAGAGACCTTAAAATATTCATAAATATTTAAGTGTTTTACCAATTCTGTATATCTATTAATTACCTATTGTTACAAATTAAATGATTTAGAATTGATTTTCTTGTGATATTGCTTCAAACTAGCATATAGATTACCTGATGGTAAGGTGCCTTTTGGGAATGAGTGTTTTGGAGGATCAGGAATAGGATTGTACCTCCTATCTAGTCGGTTTGCTGTGAAGCCGTGGTATCATGTACATATTTGGGGATGGGGCTGAATATTCCACACTTTTACTAAGATACATATTATGAAAAATTACATTTTTAAAGAAAACAATATTGTTTTTACCGAGGATTCAAACAATCGTCATACAATTATTTTATTATTTTTATCACCCCTGTTATTCTTTAAAAACACAGTCAGATATCAAATATTGTCTTAATTTATGTTTTATACCATAATCCCTTATAACAAAGTTTCTTTTCCACCAGATCTTCGACATGGCAACAGGGCTGCTACTCCGAAATGTGAGCAGTGATGATCCTGAGTTTGAAGTGGCAGGGTTGTCAGCGAGCAATTCTTTAGCGGTGTCCGTCAGGGCTTTCAACAAGAAAGGATTAAGTGAAGCACTAACCCTAACTTCAAATTTGTTGAAATATCCTCAACGGCATACAGGTATGAACTATTATTTTTATTTTATTGATAATAACAGCTTACTCATGTGAATGAACTAAAAAAACTCTATTAGTTTCAAGACTCAACGAAACATTTGACGAAATATTTAATTTTAGATTATTTCTAGCTATTTTTTCAAATAAAAGTACTTAGGCTATTTGACGTTAAAATATTGTGACATTAGATGTAGTGATTTCATGCAAAACTCATAGAAAAGTATCGTTTTTTGATATTTCAATAAAAGATTGAAGAAAGAAATTGAATTTGATTAGTTGGAAACTACCGGATTTCTTGAAAATCGTGGTCTCTAGCTGTAAGGCAATCTTTTAAAACGACTCTATAGTTTATTTTAACTTTTTAGTTTATTATGAAACTTAGAAACTTAAGAATTACATAAACCACTGTATTTTTAACCCAAAACCAGTAAGTATAAAGTTCATAGTTGTTTCAGCTCAAGTGCCCGTGAAGGTGGAACTAACAACGGTTCTGATCATCGTGCTTGGAGCCGTCGGGGTCATCGCCACCATGACAGCTGTACTGGCCATCATATTCTGCTGCAAATATTGTAATAAACGCGAAAGTAAGTTTTTATTTTTATGTTTTCATATAGCCGGTATCATCGTCATCATCATCAGCCTATAAGTGCCCACTGCAGAGCAAAGGCGCTGCTCTTCTAACTCAGAGAAGGTTTGAGAATTCACCCGTGGTTTGGAGCGCGGATCCACGTGATACATAATTTGTTTTCTATTGTGTGTCATATACCGGCAGACAAGAGATTAATGACCCCATAAGGTGGATTGGCGATTACAAACTTATATTAATTAGAAATTGAGTTTTCTGTAGCCTGGGGTAAGCGAAATAAGGCACCGCGGCCTCGACCTAGAGCAGGAGAACGAACGGGGGGGGGGGGGGGGGGGGTTAGTCAGTAAGAGTCTGACACTCTCTGGCCAGACAAGTCATTTGATGATGTTCGTAGAAAGTATGCACTTACATACTTAGTCGGGTCATAAGTTCTGTCAAAACCTTATATTTTTAATTTTCGATTACTGGCCAGAAATTCTTCGACTTATTTTAAAAATAGAACTTTCGCGCTTGTAGAAAATAAAAACGAAATTATTTTTTATTCATTTTTAAATATGGAGTGGTCGAATAAAGAAGACAGAATCGCGGTTATCGCGTTGCACCGCTGTGGTTACGCGCCAAAAGACATTTTCAATATTCTTCAAAATTTGAAAATAACGTTACGGTTTGTTTATCGTACTATCAAACGATACACCGAAGAGTCAAGCTTCGAAGATCGTAAGAGAAGCGGCCGACCTCGCACAGTTCGGACACATAAGGTCATCAAAGCAGTGAAGGCGCGAATCGAACGAAATCCCGTACGTAAACAAAAAATCCTAGCTCTGCAGATGGGGCTAAGCAGAACCACTGTTAAAAGAGTACTAAATGAAGACCTGGGACTACGAGCTTATCGTAAAAAGACAGGACATTTTTTGAACGAGCGTTTAAAAAAAATTAGGCTAGACAGATCCCGCGCTTTGCTACGACGGTACGCGGGAAAAAAATACCGCGAAATTCTTTTTTCGGATGAAAAAATTTTTACTATTGAAGAAAGTTTTAACAAACAAAATGATAAGGTGTATGCCCACAGCAGTGAAGAAGCAAGCGCGCGTATTGCGAGGGTCCAGCGTGGGCATTACCCTTCCTCATTCATGGTTTGGCTTGGAGTCTCATATTCAGGCGTAACTGAGGTGTTTTTCTGTGAAAAAGGTGTGAGAACTAGTGCCGAAGTTTATCAAAATACTGTCCTAACAAACATAGTGGAACCTCTTTCTCAGACAATGTTCAGGAACAGGCATTGGATATTCCAACAGGACTCTGCACCGGCTCATAAGGCACGAAGTACGCAAGACTGGTTGATCGCTCGTGGAATTGACTTCATCCGGCATGAAGACTGGCCCTCTTCTAGTCCAGATTTAAACCCACTGGACTACAAGATATGGCAATATTTGGAGGAAAAAGTCTGTGCTAAACCTCACCCGAATTTGGAGTCTCTCCGAGCATCTCTGGTTAAAGCAGCGGCAGACATAGATATGAATGTGGTGCGTGCAGCGATCGATGACTGGCCGCGTAGATTAAGGGCATGTGTTCAAAATGGGGGAGGGCATTTCGAATAATGTAAATAAAATTATATTGTACATTTAATGACCTTTCATTTCATATATAATTTTTAAATAATTGTCAAAAGGCGTATAAGTTATTACATCAAAAGTTTGTGACAGAACTTATGACCCGACTAAGTATAATATCACAATGGTACTTGCCAGGTATTAAAAGCACTCTCGCATGAAAAGCGAGCGCCTTAATCTCTGGCCTACCACGTTTTTTTTTTATTTTAGTCTTTGGTCAATTCTTATATTGAACCTGACCTTTTCATGTTTGGTCATTGCATTAGCGAGGTAATTAATTGAATTTTTAATCAGGTAATTATATTTAATATTCCATCAATTTCATAAATATAAACTATTCAAATTAAAATTTAATAATTAATTCGTATGAATTACAATTTGCACAGAAATCATAAATAATTTGTATAAAATTAATTTCGAACGAATGTACAGTTGGCATAGGTATTTTGTGTCCAAGAAAATATAGATTGATTTATTTTATAGAGAATTATTGGTTAGGTACAAAATTACCTTTGATGCTTTCCATATTAAGTATACAATTTTGTATAATATAAGTGACTGTCCTTTTCTTGGTGTTCCCATGTGGTGGTGGCCCGGAGGAAGTTACATCTCATGCATGTAGGTGCAGATTCCAATGTGACTTTTTCCAAGTTATATGTATTTTCTAAATACCAATTATTATAACACCACTGACATACGGTAAAGGAAAATATCATGGGGTAATCTGGACTTATAATTTCTAATTATAACTTTGAAATCGCCAATCCGTTTTGAGTGCAATGGACACCTTCAGTCTGATAATGCGATGTGATGTCCTTTCCTTTTGTGACAAACCAATAAGTGTCACAGAAAGCTGATCGACGCAGGTTTCGCAGTCCCCAGGAAAGGTCTGTGTTCAGCAATCGATTAATTTTGTTAATAGGCCATAAAATAGTTTATTTACCCGTCAACACAATAAAAAAAACTAGATGTGGCCGGTCGTATCTGACTACTTTAAGAACATCCCTTAAAAAACGTGAACTTCTAAACTCTTTTAAAGTGAACTTCTGTGGCTAAAATAATCATGGTGATATGGACACAAAATAATGAAGCTGACTGTACCTTTTTGTGTGTATGCAAAATATTCATATAATGGAGTTAATCATTTAATAAAATTAAATCAATTTAGGGTTTTTAATTGAAATGGACCACTTATACAATGTATGATTTATGAATTTTGTACGAATGTTTTGTTATTGGCCGAATCGAATACGAAGTATAGAGGTTTGAATGTAAATTTATTGCTTATGATGATTTGATCTGACATACGGTGAAGGTAAATATCGTGAGGAAACCTGGACTTATAATTTCTAAGTATAAGTTTTCGCATTGAGCAAGCGTGGTGATTAATGCTGAAACCTTCTCCGTGTGAGAAGAGGCCTTTGCTCAGCAGTGGGCACTTATAGGCTGGTGATGATACAAATAATAATAGCTCAATGATATATCTCCGCCCCGTCTGAGAGCAAGGGAAGGAACGGTATGGTTTTTAGTCAGTAAGAGTCAGACACGTCCTATCGCCTCACCGAGGGCTAGATAGGGCTCATAATTTCCCTCCTCAAAACCTAAACTTTAAATAGTTTCTTTCACATTTAATGCTCACTTAAACTATTACTTAGTAACGCCTTAGTTACGAATACTGCCTAGGACAGTGTTTCGATACCATCAAATAAATGTGGTCTACATTAAAAATACAATATTTATACTTTAAACTCAAGATATTATGTATTTATGTAACAAAATATTTCTGTCTCTTTTTTTTAGGGAAAAATGAAAAGGACAAAAGGCAACAAGATGAAACATCAAATATACCACTGACAGGAACCAAGGAATCTGAAAGCGTTGACAGTTTGGGTAAGTTAAAAATGCAATATTACGCACTGATTAATGTTTAAATTTATTGAAAACTAATAATAAATTTCTCCATTATTATTAGATGATTTTAAACATACATATTATTATGAAAATTCCTCTTCAACCGCTCTACGTATTAAAAGAAACCGCATCAAAATCTGTTACGTAGTTTCAAAGATTTGAGCATACAAAGAAACGGAAAAGCGACTTTGTTTTATACGATGTAGTGAAAACCACTAACGCGGTTGAATTAACTGTGAAATTAAATAATAATAATAAGGTAATACATGTGCACTGGTATGCGGATGTCTATAAACGGAGCCGATTGCTTACCATCAGGTAATCCGTTAGCTCATTTGCCGGAAACTCACATGAAAATAAAATAGGTAGTTTCTTTTATTGTTATACTAGCTACTCTCACGTGGTTTCATCCGCTGCTCAGCTCAATTTAATCGCAGCGTGCTGTTTTATAGCCTTATAGCACTTAGTAACATTGTAGTTATCTATCAGTGAAAGAATTTTGGCAATCCGACCAGCGGTTCCAAAGATTACCCCCTACATACAAACTTACCTCTTTATAATATTAGTATAGATTCCATCCTTCTATCCACTTTTTACTACAACAAAAATTACTCTGTAACACTTTACACCATCTTCATACTAATGTATTTGACATTTAGGCACAGAAGCTTATCCTGTGAGCATCATCTCTCATATCTGAGAGGCAATCCTAAGCTTAGAGGAGTCACCACACAAGATCTACCTCGAACGGACGTTACACTGTAACTTATACTTGCTAATAGCTCGGTTTGGAGTATTTTAATTACATTTTTGAGCCCAATTTTATAATTCCTTTTATTGATATCATCAATATCAGATCATTAAGTGCTTACTGCTCAACAAAGGCCTCTTCTCATATCGAGAAAATTAGAGATTTAATTACAACGTTTTCTCACGGCGGAAAATAAAAAATCAGAAAAAGTCATTTGGTATGTGTCAGGTTTCGAATCCTTACGAGAAGCAATAATACTTCAGGGTGCCACGGCAATTTTCAAAAATCTTCAAACTTAATATCACTTTTAACCGTCAATAAATCAAACCAGATTTTTTTTTGGATAATTTGCTTGAAGATGCGAAAGATACCCATATTTTAATTGGCTTTAGTTACAAAATCCTACCATAAAACATAACTGCTTACCAACTTACGCTGTTCCTATTATATCTGAGCAATCCAGCGCTTAATGGAGTCAGAACGCGAAATATACCACAGAACAGCGGATACACTGTAACTTATATTCATTTGCGACTGATTTTTATCCATATTTATAGTGGTTTAAGGTTAAAATTAATTGGCTTGTAGCTTTTCAAGTCAAACATAGTATTAGATAGGAAATATCCACTAGTTTTTCCTAGGGGTAAGGAATCTCTGAAGTCCAATTCATTACGATTTACATGGCCTTATTACAAATTGCCATTCTTAATATTATGCTAACACTTTTAGCATTTATATATTAAGTCGTGGTGGCCTGAGATTTTATTTCACGAGAAATACGTTGAAGGGAAGAGAAAAACATTGTGAAGAAACCTGGACATCTTATATACAAAATGTGAAATCGCCCATCCACCTCCAACAAGCGTGGTTATTAATGTTAAATTCAGAATGAATTGAACAATAAAATTTATTTTTCTAAATAGGCCATAAAACAGCACTTTTACACGTCAAAATTATGTCAAAAACTAGATGAAGATGAATTAAATCCCAAGCGTACGGCGCGTAGCGTCCCGCGCAAATTGACCACCACAGACGGGGCCTACAATGCCGATGTTCACCCGAGGTTGTGAGGCAAACAGGAAAAGAAACGGGGTTTTTTAGTTTGAAAATTCTCGTTATACTCTGAGAGACATCAATTGATGATTATCCCTAAAAAAAAGAGAACCATTTACTAAAAATTTAAGTTAGGTACACTATAACTTACACTGTCACTTCCAACCTATATCCTCAGACTTAAACGTATAAATACATTATATATACCAGATACCTAGGTATCTATGTACTTAGCCTAAACTATAAGCCGGCCCGACCATAGCTAAGACCACTTGAGAGCAAACGTCCAAAAGCTAGGCAAATGAATTGCTACCTGAATACGTGGAGATAGTGTTGAATGTTTAATAAAATGTACTCAGATTCTTGCCTTTGAATTTGACCTTTAGAGAGAGATGTTTTGTGAAAAGGATCCAGGTTTATGTAGTAGAAGGAAACTTGAGATTTTCGTAATAGTTTTAACAGACAAGACTACTACTAAAAGTACCTAAACAAATTGATCGTTTAAGAACCCGCAAATCGAAAATTAAATCACTACATAGTATAAAAACAAAGTCGTTTTCTTTCTCTTTATGTATGCTTAAATCTTTTAAACTACGCAAAGGATTTTGATGTGGTCATTTCTATACCTAGATGTATAATTGAAGAGGAAGGTTTTTAAATATAGGTAATACCATCCATGAAAAAGAGGAATTCAGTATTAGGACAAATTCAGTATTAGCATTGTAACCGTGCGAAAGTAAGGCGGGTCGTTAATGACAAAAACCTAAGTAAATGAGATCAAATAACTCATAATCGTTTTACCTATACTCGCAATACCACTACATAAAACAAACCCTAACTTTTCGTTACCAAACGAACCGACTCATAACAAACACGCCAACAAAATAAATCCCTTCAACCAAAAGCAAAGAAGCACTAAACAACATTTTATGATCTTTTTTCCAGACAAAAATCCAGACATCATTCCTCTAGATGGCAAAATCAGTGACAGCTGTTCGAACAAATCTTCTACGACCGACTACAGTTCGATCCGACCACTAATATCGAAAACTACAGACAAATTTGATATGACAGCGAATTGTGATCGATTCTATGATCATAACATTGATCCTTGCAACCAATACATCCAAGTACGTCCAATGGAATACCGACGTCCAACTTACGCGCCATCTTTGCAAATGCCCAACCTTGGCCCAAGCATACAAAGTTTGGGCCCAATGAGCAGTTTGCATATGCCAAATGTTGGACCCAATGATTGTCATAGACAGCCTTATGATAAGGTCTATGAAGATTGGTTGAAGTATAAGAATGCTTTGCCTTTGAATACCAGTGGGTTGGTGAGTATCTATTTTTTATCTTGGTGTCTATATCAACAAATACTGTGGAAGTTCCACAGTATTTTGAGTAAAATCACATATCACAACTTCACAACGTATTATTGAGAATTTGGAAATTGTAAAACAATTATTGCTATAGCAATTTCAATTTTCAAGCTTTCAGGAGGACCTAGGAACTCTGTAGAACCAGCTAAAGAATTCTGTCGCCTAAAAGCATTCTATAATTACTCCCACAACACAAATACTATTTCGAAATAAAAAACAGCATTATTAAATTATTATAATGTCAGACCAGACTGATATCCGATCTCATATGAAGTGAAGAAATAAAATGCAATTTTTACTAAGAAGTTATTATTACCCCCACCTTACAAAAAAAAATCACGAAAAAAACAAAAACTAACCTCAAAAATTCCCTTCCAGCTACCAGCAGAGCAGCTGTTACCACCAGAATTATACGCCACGCCGCCCCCACCATCTCTCTACAGTAACCCCAACAGAAACCCTCTAAACCTGACTCAAATGCCTGAGTTGGAGCCTAGATACCACTTAGAACCTCGGTCTCTAGCGATGGACTCCAGGAGTTGTTCCAACTCACCGCCTGTGAGATTCAATCCTGAGAACAACAGCGTCTACTTTAGTAAAGGAGTGCTAGATAGAACTACTAATACGCTACCACATTTGAAGCCAACTAGAATTAATGGTAAGTATCACAGAAACATGTAAGAATCATCATCATCATCATCATCAGCCCATAAGTGCCCACTGCTGAGCAAAGGCCTCTTCTCATACGGAGAAGGTTTGAGCATTAATCACCACGCTTGCTCAATGCGGGTTGGTGATTTCAAACTTATAATTAGAAATTATAAGTCCAGGTTTCCTCAAGATTTACCTTCACCGTATGTCAGAGGTGCAGTGACCAGAAGAAGGGACGGGGTAGTTTTTAATCAGTAAGATTCTGACTGTTTCTCTCGCCCCACCCATGACTCGTTTGATGATTTTCACCCATCAAAAAAGCCGAATTCACTGACTTAGGGGTTCTTCACTTAAGACGGTCTTTAACTGCACCGATGACTCGGTGGCTGCACAGAAAAACTCTTTATAATCTGTGAAATCTGGATCGTGTATGTGAAATTTTATGTTTAGAAACGGCCACGATACGGGAGAAAAAAAAACAACCATTCGCTGAGTAGTAGTTTTCCTAGTTGCATAGTAGTAGTAGTGCATTAAATATTGGATAATATCTTTCTGATATTCTGATAGGTGTATCTGATCCAAAAACACCCATTGCGTCCTCTTGCAAAACAAGCAAAAAGTACAGTCACCAATAAAATACAGATACCATTTCACAATGTTATATAACACTTGAAAATTTTCCACTTCCAAAGTAACTGCTCTGCGGTTCCGCATTAATTAAATTCAGTACACAAAACTGTCCAACAATCCTATATAATCATATAATTATATTCAGACTCATGAAAAGATAAATTGTCCCCGTTTTCATTGTAAAAAATGGCTGTTTTAATAAGTAGGTTGAATAATGAAATAAGTACTCGAAATAGGGCTGTGTCATCTTTTTAGTTGATATTTGTAGAGAGACAGAATTAACTAGGTCTATGTTTTATTAAAAGAAAACTTATTTCGTTCTAATTAAGTTTAATGTTGCTTGTCTTATGTAAAGATTTTCATGTAGTTACAGTGAAGTAGGCTTATAAACGAGGTGTTTCTCAGAATTTTGTTGAAAAAAAAAATGTTTTAGTTAGCTACATTTTGTTTTATAACCAACATTCGGTCTGACAATGAACTTGAGTTCAATTTGTTTAAAGTCTAAAAACATTTTTTTTAAACGTTGCCCCACACTAGGACTTTCTCCTGTTTCGTGGGACCGGGTTCAAACATACAATTTCACATACACATGACACCCAGACCCGGAACAATAATTTGTGGATCACACAAAGAGTTGTTCCGTGCGGGAATCGGACCCGCGCCACGTTGAACGGCAGCCAGTTGCCCAGCCACCGAACCAACCGTGCAGTCTACAAAGTATTGATAAATCACACCAAATTATTGTTTAAAAATATAAAAAAAAAATAACATTTTCTTTCCGCAGGAAACTCACCAACACAGCTGCAGAGTGACCAAAAACCTGTCACAAAATCTGCCGAAACTTCCCTAGAACCAGTAAAAATGTCAAAAGAGTGCGAATGAGATAAAAAATACTAAAAGGATTTAGATCCTTTAGAATAAATAAAGACAAAGTGACTTTAAGTGTGGACTAGGTAAAATGGCCTCGTGTTCAGGTCAATGGCCTAGGGATTATTGGCCTGCGTGCTTTGTTAAGGTGTCGAGTGTACTTTTGTGTGATAAACATTCGTGAAAATCGTTTTGGAACTTTGGACCCGTCCGTTGTGATTTTATTATTGATTTTCTTACTAATAAAAGTGATTTTGTTTTCTGAAATTAAATTATACAAAGTTTTTAATGTTAAAATTAAAAATACAATAAAATTATTTTATAATTTTTTGCCAAAATTCTTTATTGTTACGCCAATAAAATTCGAAATAATGTTGTGAAAAATAACAATATTTTATTAATTTTGTTAGAATGAACGATCATGTCAATTTGATAGAACGAAACAAAACTTCTAGATTGTAAAATAGTTTTGCATCTTTCATAAGATGTGTAAGACTGAATTTGTGTAGCGATTACACATGTTTAGATAAAACAATTATTTGATTACATTATTGTAATTAATTATCTAAGATAAAAATAATTGCAGCGCAAAATAATTATTTAATTTACAAAATAATAATTCGTTTGCAAAATTGAAATAATAAATGAATCAGTGTTTGGTTAACTAATAATAAAATAATTAAAAAGGAGATTAGATAAATAAAATATGAATAAGTAAGTTGTGAATGTATATAATGTAAATATTTAAGTATGTTATACGAAAAGTTGCCATACTAGTTAAATAGTTAATAAAACATGTATCTAAAAATAAATTAATATTGTCACAAAATCGAGCTTTTATGTTATGAATGATAATTTAATTTTGTTGGCGAAAGAAAGGTTGAAAGATATGTAAAAATGTCTTATCCGAAAAATATACGAATAAAGAGCAACACTTGAAAAGTGGAGATGTTAAAAATATCGTATTGCATGTTAATCTTCGGATTTGTTATTTTTTAAAAAGATTTCGGAATTTGGAAAGCTTACTCGTGATGGGACAAGCGATGTTGTTTAAATGTAAATGATATAAAAATATTATATAAATATAAATAGATAATTAATGTGATAACAAAATGATTCAAGGATAAAGCATCCCAGTTCACGACAGAATTTTTAATACATGTTCACTTTTTAAAGTTTCCCTATTTGGCCTAAAATTATTATTAATTTGTAAATAAAATAATTCATTCATTAATTTATCTTTAATTTTTTTTATTTACACATTAATAAAATAAAACATTGTAATTAATATGTAATGCCGTCATTTTGAAATAGAATTGTTAAAGTTGTCTTTAATTTTAAAATTAGAAAATGATGAAATGTTTTCATAACATAAATTGAAAAACTTTGGATATTATTATATAAGATATTATTCTTTGTTTAAAAACTTCGTGGACTGAGCACTGAGATTATTATTTAATTTAAATAATAAAAATTTCTTTTTCTTCTAAATATGTTTGATTCAGACCAAAATTTTACAGCAAATTAGATTTTATTATTAGAATATTGTTTTTATTGTAAAAAATAATACCATGACTTAGATTCTTAGATGTTTGTTTAAGGTACAGTCGCTAAAAAAAATGTTAAATAACATTGAACGATTTTGACTAACAAAAAAATTATTAAAAAAAAAAATGCCAAAATTGTTTTATTTGTGAAGAAAATATGTTTTCAATTTCCATCTTAACCAGTTATATGTTTGTTTTTCCTTTTAAGCGACTGTATCTTATGCTTTAAGCGATAATTTCTTTTATAATGTTTGTATTATAATTTAAAATATATTAGCATTTTGTAAAAACAAATTTTTTTAGTAATTATATCGTTTTCATTTTGTGATGTAAAATTTCCTTGGAAATAATAAATGTGAATTTATAAAAAAAACATGCTTTTATTTCGATTTTAGTTCTTCTGAATGGATTAGTTCGGTTATAAGTAGTCAAGACAGAATCTTTTACATAGACTTAATATCCTGTGACCTCTAGATGGGGCAGAGGGCGTCCACTGAAGTTCTCCATCGCGATCTGTCTTGAGCTTCACGCTTCACCTCACTCCACGTCATACCGATGCTCGTCGCTTCTGCCAGTACGGTGCGACGCCAGGTTTGCCGTGGACGGCCACGTTTTCTTTTCCCTTGGGGTTCCAATCCAAGGCTTGCTTGGGTATGTGGCCAGGACCCCTTCGGAGCGTGTGCCCTATCCATTCCCACTTGCAGCGAATCTTTTACATACCATGAAATTAATATGTATTTATACTTGTTTTAATTCTTAGCATTATTTTATTTACCTTTTAATCCCACCGTCAAATCATTTACTTCAGATAGACTACAATATGCACTTTTGGACGACAAACAAAAAAATTATGAAATGTTTTATTGCTTATCACAAATTAAGTAATTTAAAGATGAAACCATTCTATTTTATACTACCTTTTGCCCGCCGCTTCACCCTCGTGGTATGTTAATAAAAAGCAGCCTGTGTTAATCAGTGGTATCACCTATCTACATACCAAATTTCAACCAAATCGGTCCAGCCGTTTTTGCGTGCAAGAATAACAAACAAACATACATCCATACCTCACAAACTTTCACATCTTTAATATCAGTAGGATTCAACAACACATCAAGACTTCAAAATGATTAATAGAAAAAACACCATATAAAAAGAAATTTGTCGTTAACTGTACCCATAGTACCCATAGCTACTGGACCGCAAAATCCCATAGCAATGTCAAACAAAGTTTATTTGTTTTCCCCATAACATAACACGGGAACTTGACAACATAAATATTATCACTGTGCCGGGATTAGAACCATATTTTTGTCAACATACGTACGCACGACGCATTACTTACATAAAAATTGTTGTGCGTAGATAAATATTATATCCTTTTTTCGAAAACATGATTTGTAACTTAAGACTCAGGTTCAAAGTCTTTGTATTCTTTAGTTGTATATACCTACATGTTTTTTATTATTATACCTACTTAATTTTGAAAAAAGTCTTGTTTGCCTTACCCGGATGAAAAGTAGCTTAGTGTGTTATCCCAGACAATAAGTAATCTAAGTCTGTGACAAGTTTTATTAGTGTCATAGGACGGCAAACGAGCTTGAGGATTACCTGATGGTAAGCAATCGGCGCCGTCCATTGACACCCGCAACACCACCAGTTACGAGTGCTTCGGAGATATATTGATTGGGGAAGGGTCAGAAGCATTGAGCCTCCGGTAACCTTACTCACATGGCGAAAGTCAACGCTGTGGTTGTTTTACGCTGGTTTTCTGTGAGGCCGTGGCTAGAGTGATAACTCCGGTCGAGCCGACCGATTTGTAGCGATGCATGGTTCTCTTACACTAAAAACCTAAAAAGTTTATACCTACGTAAAGGGTAAAAAGCATTCCTCCATACATACCTATAAACTTTCGGGTTTATATGTACCTAAATACCTACTTATAATATTTATTTATTTAAACTTCATGCACAATGGGTACCTACATAGGCGGACTTAATGCCTAAGGCATTTTCTACCAGTCGAACCTTGGGTGATGCAGAGATGAGCCAATAATATTTTACACTTAATGCCAAAAATTGCATCAAGTCAGTAAATGTCCATCGATTATCCTCAATAAATGTTCAAATAAATCAAAGATTATCGTTTGGATAAAGCTTAAGGGCAATTTAACCCCAATTTGCACTACACCACATAATAATAAAAACGTTTATACAAAATTATAACCAACTTTTTAATAAATCGCTCCAATTTCGGCGCGAAATACAGCCGCCATTTTGAAAATTGAAACGTAGTTATTGCTACTCTAAAAAATTTTTGTCGAGTTTTATTTTTTATTTTCCTGTCAATATAAAAATGTATTTGAATTTAATTTTTAGTTTATTGGTTTTTATTACCATCGAAATAATTAAACGTTACCTTTAAAATCTTAGTTTACCTATGTGTTAGTTATTACACGCACCAGCCAACAGCAGCCTATAAGTGCCCAATACTGAGCAAAGGCCACTTCTTACACGGAGAAGAAACGGGCGCTATAACCTCGGAGCCACCATGACCACTTAGTGCTAGTTATAGATCCTAGATATTTCTATGACTGGTTAAACTGTTACGTACTGTTACGATGTCAACACTACAATCCACGAATCTCTCCACTCGACGGCAGATAGAAATAGATGGCGGAGAGTTATACGCAGTACACTGCTTTCACGAGGTGGTCACGACCCTCAGCACTGAGGAAACCCACGCGAGGAGGAGGAGGACTGTTACGATGTGACTAAAAATAGTTAACCCTAATAGCGATGAAAAAAAATTGCTGACGTAAAAAGAACGAAATCTTTATCATAATATCAGCTACGAGACTTTAACTGCTGGAGATAGACCTAGAGCCTCCAATGACCCCAGATCGATCGATTGGAAACTACCTGCATCCTCCAACCCTTAATCAGAAGAAAAGTGACTAAGGCCCTGTTACATATCTGAATAGCCTTATAAATGTGCCAAATTTTGAACAGCGAACGTAATTCATAAGTATGAAGTATGTGCGAATTAAGTATATTGGAAAATGATTTAACTTAACTTAACTTGACTTAACTAAACCATAAGTAACTAATGTTGAAACGTCAAAATAGAATAGTAGTCTGTCAGTCTGTTCGTCAGTGAAGCTAGGTGCTCGTTCCAAATTGTAGATTCGAATGGAGAAGAACGACCAAGAAACTCCATTAACAAGCGCTAAGTACGTTGGAAATGTATAATTCAGATAATAATAAGATACGGTATAATGTTACATTAAACCTTCGTGATAATTTTGGCACAATTTAGTCAGTATCGTATGTAATCTCGTCACACACGCACCCTGTACTTTATAACCTCAATAATTGGTACCGGAATCACTAAACAGGCCAATTTTCGCTCGTTACTTTCAACACCTAAATAATTAATTCCAAACGAGACTCTAATCTTAGTCAATTATAACTAAATTGTTGAAAATGAACATGAAAATTGTTTTCAATCAAACTTTTAAGTAGGTTGGATAAAATCGCGCGATTTGATGGTTTTTTAATGAACTAGATTTGAAATGGACAGAGGATTTTGTGCTACCGGGATAGGCAGGACATTTTCTTTCTTCACTACTTGAATTTGTTACAATTAGGGACCTAGTACATACGTACTAAGTTGTTTTTTGTTGTTTGTGATATAA